AGAAAATATTTGTGAATTCTTACATACTCAAATACTAGTACTTCTACAGCTTCATTTAAAGCTCTAATCTATCTAGAGTTTACTGGGTGTTTAGAGTAAGACAACTTTATTTTTCTAAGTTGTCTGTTGTACAAGGGCTTCTTGCCATGTGGATAAAGGTAGAGATGTAAATCTGGGCCATAAGGGTTTTCAAGTCAAGTTTCAAAGTTTTGCAAACGCAGGGAGTCATGGAGTTAAATCAGTAGCCAGAATTTATCAAAAACACAAAAGAGATTAATATATTTACTTAAGTCTAGACTTAACTAAAACCATAGGGGCAAAATTTTTATCATTTGGAAATCATTTTCTCGAAATACTGAAACCCCGTAAGGTCAGATATAGGAAGATGTACTGGATTTTGGCCTCTCAAGTGAGAAAACATTTATCAAAAGTAACAATATTCCATGTGTTTTTTAATTTCAATATCAACAGCTTTCTCTAAGTTATCATATTGCTTATCTGCTACAAAGTGGTGAACTGAATCAGCTTGTACTGATGAGAATCCTGTTGGGGGTGAACTATGAAGAAACCTCAGTTATGTGATACCTTATTTTCTTAGCACCCCTGGGAAAGTAAGACTTCTCTTGCTAATTAAAGGAATAGAATATATAAATGTATATTATAAATGTAATATATATAAATCTAATATATATAAATGATGATAGATAGATAGATTGATTGATTGATTGATTGATTGATGTGTGTGGGTTTATTTTTTCCAAACATTAAGGACCCCAATACAACACCCCCAATTACAATGGAAGAAACTGAGGCTAGGGCTATAGTCTAAATAGTTTTGATTCCACAGTCTTAATGTAAATGGTCATATATATCTTGAATCATATGCATGTACTATTTGTTAAAATCTAATGTACTTTATAAAACACGACACACATACTAAAATTTTTCAATGAGACGATGACAATAGCTATACCTGGAGATTCTGATAACACCCTTCCTCGCCCCAGTGGGTCATTCCAAGGTCACGTGCACTTAGGAATAACCAAAAGTGTGGAACTGCCTCGTTCATGGTCATGTGCATGGCGGAACAGAATTAGAATTGTGGTCTTCTGGTTCCATGGTGTGTTTATTGCTGCTATATTGACCTGTTTGCTCCCTTCCAAATATACACTCAAGTGAGAACTGGGCCAATATTGCCTGGGTTAATAGTTTCTATCCCCAGAAAATCTGTCCTTTGAAATATCTTATTACCATAAATAACTGAACTTTAGATTTAAGGCTAATATTAAAGGCACACTTTTGCTAACTTGGAATTCCCCAAAACGACTTTAAGATTCTATCAGAGGGAAAGTTCCAAATTATTAATTTCCTGCCAGTCTTGCATAACCTTGGCTTAAACCTCTGGTATATTCTAAGAGAGCATCTCCTACCCCTACCTCAAGGCACTGAACCAACTTTAAAAATCCTAAAAGTATAACACAAAGACATTTCTTTAGGAACATAACTTTGTCTTCTGCTTTTAAGAAATAAAAAATTGCGGATACATTTTTCTAATCCGTATCTCACCACAGTTGCAGATAACGTTACAATCTCATAAACTGAATTTCTGAAATATACCTGGCTTATATGACCAGAATTCTCCTAAACGAAACGTTCTAAAACTGGAGGTTTTATGCTTTAGAAAGAGCTAAGAAGAACAAAAAGGTTACAGGGCTCACGGACAATTACTACCTTGACCCTTGGATCATCAGTCTGACTCGGTATCTTCATTGGAGCCCCAGGCACAGCTTGTTCCATTTCAGCTCACACTGGGTTTCTCAGACCAGGCTTATAGTGAGTCTTATAAGACCAGGCTTAAAATGAGAGTTAGGTTCTGAGCTCTCATTAAGGGTTAGTGTGTGTGTGCTATGAGTGTGTGCATGCATATGGATGTGTGTACACGCTTTCATAGGGTGACCATCTAGGCTGTGTTTTCTGGGTCATCTGAATGGCCATCTTAAACTTAATTGCTCTAATGGAATTTCAGGGCTCGGGTTGGCATTTGGGTTTGTGAGTGCAGCAGTGCAAAGGAGAGCTGCTCTAATTATTGAGGGCTGAAGGAGGCAGGACCCCATCGTCCATAATAAAAACTCATTCTGAACTAGCTGCCTTACAAAAGAGACATGGACACCTACACCATACGTCCTGTGTCCATTGGTTAACTGGGGAAAACCTTTCAAGCCAGAAGTAGCAGAGCACATACAACCCCCCAAGCTTTCATCCCACTGAGAGGTGTGCCTGAGTCAGGCATGCTGGAGTTCTGGAAGCATGAGATATCCTATATAGTCTCTACATATTTATGTGGGGAGGGAGGAAGGGGACATCTATGTGGCTATATAACAGTGGAAGCTTCCTGCTAGAGAATGGGCATTGTTAGGAAGGAAGAATCTCGGGAGCCCAGGGGCAGTGTCAGCCTGTTCTTCTGTTGAGCTTTCTCAGACCTGCAAAGCCAGCTCTCTGCTAAGCTATCAAAAAGGCATAAGAAATGAACCTCCAAGCTACCTGGATCTGTCGACCTCACTAGCATAAGCTAAATGGTAATTTATTGGCTGCCCTAACTGGAAGGTCAGGGGTGGAGCTCACTTTGGAGACCTAATCCACGTCACGGAGACAGTTTGTCTCTGAGTTCTGTTGCTTGCTGTGTGTGGACCACACCTGAGAACAGGTCTTCTGCAGCAGAGGTGAGGGTAGGTCAAGGGTGAGGTGTGATGGGCATGGCCACGTAAGAGCAGGAGGATTACCACAGCCATGTGAAGCAACCACAGAAGAAAGGAAGAGTTTTGTTTTGTCAGCTGCTGTGTAGAAAGTACCCCTACAGGGCTCTAACTGAGCCTGCGTGGGTCTCTTGTCCAACCATGGGGAGAATGAGTACCGTGATTAGCCAAGTGTAGATCATGCGGGCACTCCTTTAGCTGGTGAGTTACTTTGCTTAGTTGCTCATCATCATTCAGGAGGCGGGAAAGGACAGTTATCTAAAAGAAGGGACATTAGGAAGAAAAGAATCAGCTGATGCTTTCTACATAAGCAAAGGAGAGAGCCGAGCAGACAGTTCAAAGTGATGCGTTGGAGCTAAATGAATGCCAGGTAACATCACAGCCTGGTATGTAATTCAAGGTTTTGCAGTAGTTTGAATAGAAAGAACTGTTGGCAAAATCAAATGAACTCATGGCACCTGGTGACGTGCCAACTTTAAAAACATGGCTTTATAGCATCGGTACCATGTTTATTTTGTTAGCAGTGGTTTAGTTGTACTAAAACGCTATCAGCCTCCAAAAATTATTAAATTGCTTTTTCTGTTGGCTCCTTTTGTATTTAACCAGTAAATATTTTGTTTTATTTTTGTTTGGCAATTGTATACCTGGTTTATGTATTGTTATGTATTATTAGTGAAATAATATTCACGAATATTATAGTGAAAATAACTTCAAGCCTATCAGGCCTGAATAGTCTTCCTTTACAAGAGATCCATGCATTACTTGGTCCCGAGAAGCCTTGCTAGCACATGCGTTCCATCTGAGATCCACTCTCTCCCCTTTTTCAGGCTAACCACTGGATTCCTTCAACCTTGTTTTATATGATATAATTTTGAGTTCCTTTGGACTAGGGGTTCCCAGATGGAGAGTGGCATCTTTGGGAGGCATATTGGAATCATCTCCAGGAAGGTTCCACCACCTCACATTCTAGAATGCTCCTTTCTGAGGGTGCATTCTCCATTGTTGAGAACCCCTGCCATAGTAACGCACTCCATAGAAGACTATCTAATGTGCCTCAAGTATCAGGGTGGAAAAGAGGACAAAAATGGTGGCTTTAGAATGCCAACCCACTTAAGTATAGCACCCAGAACTCACCATAATGGTCTATGTAGAGTCTAGTTGCTAAAATGCAGAGAGAAGCACTTCCATTGAATCTGTAATTCAATTAATTTTTATCTGGGTCTCGGTTTTGCCTCTGCCTTGCCTTTGAATCTCCTGATTCTGATTGGGGTGGGCTGCCTAGATCTTCCTTTGAGGAAGGACTTGCTGCCCAGCTACCAGCTTCTGCAGGGTCTGCCTCTCTCACAGCGGCTGCCTGGCCTGAGGCACATGGCCTTCCTGGGGCAGCCTGCACCTACTGACCATTTTGGCCAGCCAGGGACACTCTGCTTCAGAGCTTCCTGCCAAGTCAGTCAAAGACTCTTTGCATCTGCCTCACAGCTCACTGTCTTCCCCGGCCCACCCGGTCTCCTCCTCGTTATGGACTGTTTGTGTCTCCTCCCACATCCGTATGTGGAAACCTAATCCCTGCTGTAGTGGCATTTGAAGGTGGGCATTTGGGAAGTGATTGGCCCTTATGAGTGGATTTAATGCCCTTGTAAGAGACCTCAAAGAGCCCTCTTATCCCTTCCACCATGTGAGGAAACAGCGAGAAGATGGTCATCTATGAACCAATCAGAAAGCAGCTCTTCACCAGACACCAAATCTTGGAACCTCCCGGTCTCCAGAACTGCGAGAAATAAATGTCTCTTGTTTATACGCCACCCAGTTTATGGAACTCTATTATAGGAACTGGAATGGACTGAGACACTCCCCCACCCTTCCTCTCACAGGTTTGATCTCTAATAAACACTTTGCAGCCCTAACTCCATCTCAGCATCTGCTCCCAGAGATCTCAACTGTGACCCTGTCTCTACTCCCAGACTGACTGTGCTTTACTGGCTGCCCCACTGTGTGCTAATCCCACCAGACTAGACAGTCCTGCTTCTTTCTTCACAACTAGATGTGCCCTGTTGTCACACTTGGCTCAAGGAGTCCCAAATGCAGCTCCCTGGGATACAGAGATGGCCCAAAGCATTTTCAAATCAGTGTGCTTATGAGCATTGTTTTTATCCTGGAAAATTCATAATACCCTATATTTATTGTGTGCTTATGACATGGCATACACTGCCTTCAGCACTTTATGTGAATTAATTAATCACAGCCCTATTGTTGACACTAGTATTACTCCAGTGAGTTGGTGGAGTGAGGGTTTAAATTTGGGCAGTCTTACTTCAGGGCCCATGGTATCCATCATCAGGTCAGCGGTTCTCAAACTTGGGCACCAGAATTACCCAAAGGGCTTATTAAAGCACAGGTGGTGGCACCTACTCCTAGGATTTCTGACGCAGTAGGTCTGAGGTGGGGCCAAATATTCGCATTCTAACAGGTAGGTGTCCAAGCGATACTGATGCCCTCGTCCCAGGGACCACCCTTGGGTAACCACTGCTATGTGATGTAGGCTCTCAGGAAAATGACAACTGCCATCACGTGGGGATGCATGACATTTCCACACAATAAATAATAGTTTCCAAATACATACATTTGTGGAATACTAGCTAGATAATCTTGTCATAGCTTCTCCAATGTCATACGTTTCTCATCTTCCAGGTGCGAGGCTCGTCTCTGGGGCCACGTGTGGCTGAGTATACCTGGGAACAGTATCCTGATGACAAAACTGAGCGCTGCTTTCCTTGGCTGTTGTGGGAACCTAGAATTGATAAAGGTTAATATACCTGAGGTGTGCATGTTACTTAGGCAGCATAAATTAGATGTTTGAAAATGGGAACTTGGTCATTATTAGCTCAGCCTATGATAAGGTCCCAAAATGCACAGTGTAATGTCAAATATAGTATTTTAGAAGTCCGGCTAAATAGGTTGTGTGAAAGCACATCTATTTTAGAAACAACAATAAAAATGTAATACATTTATATTTTGAAAACAATAAGGCTATTTATTAGACTATGTTTTAACTGTGAATCTTTTATTTGTTCATTAATTCATTCAATTAATATTTAGTAAGCACCACGAGGCTATGTGATTGCTTGGCAGAATTACATATCATTATAATTGTTATAATAATACTCATGTTTTTATCATACTCATTTTCTCAGGGAATTTAAATTCTTTCCAAACTTTAGGTCCCTGGTTTTCACATCATCTTTGTGAAGTAAGATGACCTTGTGTGTTCTTGTGTCCAATGTGTACTCAGAAAGCTGAGGTCCCCAGAGTCAGGACGCTCCAGGCAAACCTGTGATGGACCCACAAGTATGACTCACAACCCTGGACTCCGAAGCGTTACTCTGCCAAACAGTTTTCTATCTCTGGAGAATTATGTGTGCTAGGTTTCTATGGTAAAATACTTACCTCTAAATTTAATATTTAAAGAAAGAAAAAAATTCTATAGGGAAGTTTAAAAAATTAATATCTGTTTGGCTTTCCCTTGCTTCCAGGCAGGAAATCTTTTGCGTGTACCCCAAGTCCCAAGTGGGGGAACTCTGCTTTGCCCTCTAAAGGATTTTTCAGTTCCTTGCCTTTTGGAAAAGAATATTGCAGAGAACTGTCAGAGTTAGAAGGGGAAGCCACATGCATTCGTGGGATTGTAATATTACTATTATTTTTACTTAGTGTATGGAGAAACTGGATGGAATTGTCTTTGGCTTTTTAAAAAGACTATGAGCCCCTAAGACGGGTTGTGATATATCTACAGATTTCCATCTAGTCAGCATTTTATGGAGGCCCTAATAAGTGTGGTAAGATTAAAAAAAAACGTAAAAAGCATAAGGTCTGGAAAGGAACAAAGATATGATTTTATACATAAGAAATAAAAATAAATTATTAGAATAGGACAGTTTAGTAAGGTGTCTGGTAGAAAATCAATATTAAAATATCAATTGTACTTCTGCATATCAGCAACAGTTAAAAACATAGCTTATTAAAAGATATCATTTATAATAGAATGAAATAATTAGGGTACCTAGAAATAAATCTAAGAAAAGCCATGCAAGATGTCTATGGAGAATTATTGAGACATTAAAGAAAGTCTAAACGGAGAGATGTATTATGTAATATATAGAAAGCGTCAATAATGTTGACATGTCTTGACTTCTCCCCAAACTGATATTCCAATAAAAATCTCAACAGTGCTTTTTTAAGAATTTAAATCAACTCTAAAATAAGTATCAAAACAAAAGCCCAAGATTAGTCAAGGCATTTCTAATAAGAAGAATAAAATGGGATTTTCCCACTTGGATAGCAAAATTTTTAAGGAAGTTATAGTAATTAACAAAGTCAGGGGTAAGGGGCAGTAGAAGAGGGTAAAAGGGGTCAAATATACGGTGACAGAAGGAGAATTGACTTTGAGTGGTGAACACAATGCACTGTATATATAGATGATGTATTATAGAAATGTGCACTTGAAACCTATATAATTTTACTAACCAATGTCACCCCAATAAATTTAATTAAAAGAAAAGAAAAGACAGTATTGGTAGTGACACAAGGATAGAAAAAATAAATAATTAAACAGAGTAGAAAACTAAGAAGCAGAATTTTATGTATATTAAAATGACATATGACAGAGATGACATAGCAGGTTATTGGGGGAAAGGTGGACTTTTTTTTTTTTTAAACTTGTTTATTTTATTGTGTGTGTGTGTGTGTGTGTGTGTGTGTGTGTTTTTCCTCCAGCCTACGCCGTCGCCGGCGACTCATGGCAGCCTAGCTCCAGGTTGAGCTGCTGTTCAGCATCTTAGCTGTAGAGGGCAGTGTCACTGGCCCTCATATGTGGGATCCGAACCGGGGCCCTCTGGTGTCCCAAACCAGTTCTTAACCATCGTGCCACTCAGCCGGCCCGAAAGGTGGACTTTTAAATAAATAGTGCTAGAACTATTAATTATAATGAAATAATAAAATTAAATCACTATCTTACACCAAACATGAAAATCACTTCTAGATATATTAATGTGTAAAAGGTAAAACTTAAAATACTTTCAAAGAAAATATAGGCTAATATACCTGTGACCTCAGAGAAGAGCAGATTTATTAGATGTCACAGAAGTTACTAATAAAAACATAAAGGATAATAAATATCACTATATCATAACTAAGAACAGCTGTCCATAAAAGTTTACTATAAAGAAAATTAAAACAATCTACAAATTGTAAATATTATAAACATACACACATATACATATTTATACACACATACACATAAATGCATATATTTATTAAAAGCTGCTATAAATTAATAGGAAAAAGAAAACAATCCATAAACAGATAGTCAGAAGATATGGAGAGATAACCATAACACAAGTTGTTAATTTCACTAGTAATTAGAAAAACGCAAATTGACAGCAATGAAATACCATTTTTTATCCATAATATTATAAAAAATAAAAATATTGATACTATCCAAAGTTGGTGAGGATGTAAATTGATCCAATTCTTTGGACAATAATTTTAGAGAATGCATCAAAACTAAATATGTAAGTGCCCTTTGATTCAGGTGCTACGGACCCTGACCACATTTCAGATTAGAATGGGGTCAAACTGAACAGTTTCACTGGCTCTGATGTTTCACAGACCAGACACAGACTCTGATCAACAGAAGATGATACGAACGGAACGGGGAACTGAGTTGGTTCTAAAATGTTAAGCTCTTTATAAGTGTTTACAGTGCCCAAGTTTTGCAAATATGTTCACTTTACATATTTAGATTTTGCCACAGTGCTTTTTTTCAGCATACTAAATACTTGTTTTCTTTACTTTGAAGTGAGTTCCAAGTTAAATGATTTTTGCATAGATTGCCATTTATAGATGAAACCCTGATAGAGCTACTATCTGGGGAAAAAGTCTTTGGGACAATTCCATCTATCGATATAGACAGAATTTTTAAGAGAAGTAACAATGTAAAAGCACCCAGGCTTCCTGGTTTTTATTAAATTAAGTATCCATCAGGGCCGGCCGAGTGGCTCAGTTGGTTAAAAGCTCGCTCAAGAGTTTGAGCTCTGAGCAACAGTGGTTCGATGCCCGGCCCGAGCTGAGCTGCCGCAGCTGAGCTGCCAACAGGTGGCAGGATGGCTCAGCTAAAAAAAAAAAAATTAAGTATCCATCAGTAAAAATCCAGACTTTGTGGTTTTATTTCAATTATGAATTGTATTTATTAGTTGAGTTGATAAAATTAGGACGATTTAGATCCCAAATATATCTTTCCCCATTTCCTTTGAATATACATTAATTAAGTTAGTGACTTTCAGGTCATCAGGCTTTAGGAGTCAGTTATGACATAAAACCTAAAATCATGAGAATTATAAATTATAATACAAATTTATAGCAAATGTTTTCATGATGACATGTGTGATATTGGAAATAAAACCCTACAGAATGGGTTATAAAGTTTTCTTCATGAATAATCATGAGATCAGAAATCAAAGCCAAAGCATCTAGATTTGGGGGACAAGACGACTATTCATAGCAACATAATTTTAAGGGTGAGGACAAGAACACTTCTTCCAATGCATGTTCTAGTAAATGAAATACAATATTATTTACTCTTTTTGGAAGACAGATTTTAAAAACCTTGTATTTTAATTGTTATCTGAGAGACATAATAGTCATAATTCATATACACCCCAAAATTAAATGTTAGTTAAATTAAAAATCTTAAGGGCTCAGTAGAACAGAGGAGTGGGGCAAAGAGGAAAAAGAAAATGGAGGCAGCTGGGAGGTGCACTGTGGATGGAGCATGGTCTAGGGAGATACATCTTGGTAAGAGGACTTTGCATGTTGTGGGGACACAGAAGATGGTGAGCTCATGTGTCTTGCCTTGTGACAGTTTTTCCTGGAACAAGTCCCAAATATCACCAGCCTATGGGTTCCAACCATATTCCTCACTATATTGATGAGAGATGCTCACTGGATGTGTTTGAAAGACCTCTCATTCATATGACTAACTAGATTCATTCTTGGTTATAGAAGAATCATCATAGACCACATTTCTAGAGTCTTCCTTTTCTTTGACCATGCCACCCCCGCCTTTAAAATTTTTTATTGTATTTTTAAATTTATTATTTTATTTAAAAACCACGTATTTACCATCTGAACCACTTTTTAGTGTAACGTAAACTATATTCACGTCAGTGTGAAACAAATATCCAGAACTCTTTCATCTTTCAAAACTGAAGTGCTACACCCTTTAAATAACTCTCCTTTTCCCTTCCTCGTTCCCCTGGTAACCACCATACTGTTTTTGTTTCTATGAATTTGATGAGTTTAGAAACCTCATGCAAGTGGAGTCATAAAGCATTTGTCCTTTTGTGACTTATTTTACTTTGCCTAATTGTTCAAGTTCATCCATATTGTAGATGTGCCAGAACTTTTTTCCTTCTTAAAAAGGCTGAATCACATTCTACTGTATAGAGAGATGACATTTTATGTATCCATTCATCTGCTGATGAACATTGGGTTGTTTCCACCCCTTGGCTATTGTGAATAGTGATGCTATGAACATGGTAGTACAAATATCATTTCAAGATTCTGCTTTCAATTGCTTTGGATACATGCTCAGAAGTGCGATTGCTAAATCACATGGCAACTCTATTTTTAATTTTTTGAGGAACCACCTGTACTAGTCAGCTAGGACTGCCATAACAAAATACCACAGATTGGGTGGCTTAAACAACAGAAATTTATTTTCTCACAGTTCTGGAGGCTGGATGTCCAAGATTAAGGCACAGGCAGGACTGGTTTCTGTTGAGAGCTGTCTCATTAGCTTGCAGACAGCTGCCTTCTCAGCACCATTTATTTGTGTGTGCATACTCCAGGTGTTTCTTTTTCTTCTTATAAGGACACCAATCTGGTTGGATTGTGGCTCTAACCTAATGACCCCATTTAACATTCATTGCCTCTTTAAAGGCCTTATCTCCAAAAGTCATATTGGAGGTTAGAGCTGCAATATGAATTCTGAGGGGATACAATTGAGTCCCTAACACTGCCATACTCTTCTCCATAGTGATTGCACCATTTTATAATCCAGCCCACACACAGCGCATAGGGTTCCAATTTCTCCACAACCTGACCAACACTTGTCAGTTTTTTCTTTTTTTTTTTTTTACAGTAGCCATCCTAATGGGTGTGAGGTGTGACCCTGCTCTTTTTTTGGGAACTGGGAATGTGAGTTGAGTAGCCACACTTATAAATCAGATTCTCTTTATTTATGATAAATAGTATTGCCCAAATTGTCAGGCTTTGCAGGTGGGAAGTAGAGAAACAAAAGACTGACATTGCAAAGAGAGGGAAAAAAATGACTTCATGAAATCCAAGCTAAGGGAACATAGTCTATTTTTAGCAGAGCTGGATTAGCTTCCTTCAGCGGTTGCATACTTTAGGAATAATCGTTTAAAAGAAGGCAGAGCTCACGACTGCATGGTATCATTTACAACCTCAGCTGGGGCTGCAGCAGGACCCATCCCCCTGCTGTCTGGCGAGTGCTGAACAGCCTTCAGTGAACATTTACACCCGCCGCCTGAACAAAAGGAAGCCTGCGGAGGAGCCCAAGCATCATAAAGTTGGCATGGAGAAAAGAGCTCTTAATCCCAGTTGCTTTAATCTAACTACCTGAGGTCTTGGGTTTAGTCAACCATGACTTCAAAATCAAAGGCAACTTGAACCCAGTAGGGTCTCTTTGAAAAGGCCCATACATTCTATGAGGTTGTCCTGGGTTTCAATAAAACACTATTCCATGCAAAGAACCCTGCAAATTGGGAGGAATCAGAGCTTTCTTTAAATATTTGCTTTGTAAATTTTTAGCTCAGGATATTTTCCACACGTTGTGCTTGACACAAGCAAGGCATGTAAGGGATTATATTCTTCACTTATAAATACATCAAATATATGCAAAACCTCTGTACAGAAACAAGGCACTGTGTTAAATGTAAGAAATAACGTTATCAAGGAGCTCATAGAAAACTAGGGGCCATAACTCATGTGCTAAGAATAATACTACAAAACAGAAGAACAGTTCGCAGAAGAGATTCAGCACTACGGAAAAAGAAAGACCACTTCCAGCCAGAATGACCAGGAAAGAATTTCTAAAAGGACATGGTATTCGAGTGAGACTTTAAAGAGAGATCAAGTCTGAGACCTGTGGAGAAGTAGAGAAAGAGGACTTCAGGCAGAGGGGAAGGAATCCACAAATCCAGCACTGAGTATAGGAAACTATGTGCACAAAAGAGGAAAAATAGATGGTTCTGTTTAGCTGTTAGAAATAAAGGTGAGAAAACTGGTTAGAGTCTGGTTTTGGAGATTCCTGTCCTGTTATTTAAAATTTGGAAATGTCACTATGTCCTTAACATTTTATGGTGATACGTATAGACATATCATGGTACCTACAGAACCAAATTTCCTTTTGAAGTTCCAGTTCAAGATATCATAAACACAAATGGTAAAAAAAACCCTAAACTTTTAGGGGTAAATTGTGCCAGCTGCCCTAAAATAGCTGGTGGAAAGTTGGGGAAGTAAATTAAAAGATAATATACGCCTACAGGAGGACAGGCGGGGGGTCTGTGCTGTGACTGGGCAGAGCCACCTCCCTACCCCTGTGAGCAGCTGGCATTCAGCCATGAGGCATGGTCAGAAGGAATCCCAAGTATGCTTGGCCTTTAAGAACTATAAATAGGAGGCATGCTATTTATATATAACCTACTTCCAAATACCCCTTATTTGAAGTGGCTCCCTGGGACAGCCATGGAAACTTAATTCTAGGCAGGCCAGAAGCTCACAACTCCAGCAAGGAAACCTGGTCATACCTGCCAGTTCATTTCTACAGCACTGGCAGTCCAGTACTGCACTGTTATACGTCTATTGTGTTTTATGGCCGATCTGGTATGAAACTTGTGAAACAAAACACACTAATATTTTTATTATAAAATGTATATTTTGATTATTATTTATTAAGGTTGAAACATACACAAAAGTATAGAAAGATAATACAATGAACTTATATATACCTATCACATAGATTCAATAACTATCAAGATTTTGCCACACTTGCCTTACCTATTTGATTTTTTTAAAAATCCTGAGGCATTATGAAGCATTATGAAGGTGTTGCCATTTCATTCCTACCTTCCCAGTTGGTATCTTGTTTTACATATAAACATTTTCTAAAACGATCTTAGTGAGATGAACACACCTAAAGCTAACAACAATTCTTCCGTATCCAATTTATAATCAAATCACCCCTATTGTCTCAAACATGCTTTTTTTTTTTTAAAGGTTTGTTTAAGAATCTAAGGAAGGGCCTCACTTGACATTTGGTGGTTATATCTCTTCAGGCTCCTCATTTGAAGCAGCCCCCCCTGCCTTCCCTCCTCTCCATGACCTTGACTTACTTAAACGGGGTCAGTGTTCTCATAGAACAGACCATCTTCCACCTTTGTCTTTTAGCTTCCTTGTGGTATCACTTAGCAATTCCTCTGTACTGTACAATACATTTTACAATTGAATATTGTCAGTGTTCTCTATAGTCATGTTCTCTTTGGGCACAGAGAAATAAGCTAAGGGAATTTATTGGAATAAACACCAGCTTTTAGAGAAAAATGTAATGCGAGCTTCATCACTCACTTACTTGCTGTATTCATATTTGTGTATATTTAACTTCTTCACGTTAGTTTCATTGTGAACACCCAATAATTTCACAGGATTACTGTGAGGATAACTAAAGAGACTTTGTAAAGGTCCCAAGGCACACACACGAGGCACCACAACCCCGCAACGATGTACAGAGCTGTTCCCATGGACACCTAAGGCCAGTTTCTGCTCAGAGTCCTCTGAAGGACTGGTCTGCTTGATGAAGTTACCAAGACTTTTCGTTTATTTCCCAGATTTCAAAAGATAGGTATCTTACTCATTGTGAAAACAACAGCGGCTCTCTTCTGGAGGACTCTAAGTTATATGGGTTGTCATTTAAAATAAACCTAATTTAAAACCCAATTCCATTAAATGGAGAAGCTATTTACATTAGTCTTGACGAGATGGTCCAGGCCAAAAGGCCTAACAGTGTTTATTTGCATGAGAAAGAAGAATTCATGAATTAAATGATGTCTTTCAGCCCACCCCCAAAACTGAGGCAGGAGGACGCCCTGTCCATGAAACAGACAGCCAGTCTTCCCTGGACAAGAACAAGGGCATTGGGGCTTGGCAGAGCAAGGTTCAGTCTATTGAGGGGGTTTCTTATAATCTATTCCCCAGGGGCCTTCTGCAACATCTTCTGAGGGCTTGAGCTGTTGCTGCGCTACATGTTGAAAGTAATGCTTCATGGCTAAAGGCCACCAATTCATTTCCTCCACTTCACATGGAAATTGTCAAGGAGGGAGCTCTGATTACATAAACGCATAAATCCTTCTGCTATTCTATCCACTTGATGATAATAACATTCTACATGTTACAGACTTCACAAATTCTGATACAGTAACACAGCTGTCTGCAATGTGCCAGAAAATAGGGGATGGTTCTCAAAGTCTACTCGTAGGCTCCCTGCATCAGTCTTTGGGGATGTTAGTTAAAATGTGCACCTCTGGGCCCTGCTTCAGACCTAGTGAATCGAAACTTCTGGAAGTAGAACCCAAGAATCTGCATCTTAACATGCATACTGCAGTATGAAAATCTATGATATATTCTGGGAGGAAAACTCCCAGAGGTGATGGACTTGGCTCAGAGTTTCACACTTATGAAATGGAGAAGCTGATATTTTAATCCACATTTCTATTGAGATTACCAATGATGGTCACATAACTCTCATTAAACCACTCCTATAAATCTTACTTACCATTTAGCTTATTAATGAACCCCTGCGTTTAATGCCTTAAGATGCTGCATGATTTCTCTTTTCCATTCTTTCTGGAAGAAAGATCAAAGTGAGGTTCGTGCCACTCTTTCTCTTTATTCACTACTAGTTCCTCTGCTCACTCTCCAACCTGTATCCCCTCCCTTCTCTCCCACCCTCCAATCTTTTTCTTTGTTGTTTTTTTAAGTGAAGGAGTTTCCAATATCAAGTCCTGGCAAGTTTAAAATAAAAATTGAAAATGCAACGCAGAGCCTTGGTACCAATTTGCAGAATTTCTTTAGATTATTTGCATTTATTTACAACACCTATTTCATGCTTGTGATATGAGGAGTGGAAATCATGGTTCTGGTCGTCATTCTGTCCCTGACTTAATGACAGCATAATGGAAAAGCTATGAATCCCTTATTTAGAAATTTAGAAACAGAAGGGGGTGAAAAGACTGGAAACAAACAGAATAAAAGAGATCCTCATTAAACACTGCACACATTCTGAGGATTAAAGCCATGTCATCTTTACCAATATGTCAAGGTGAATGTTACTAAAGTTCTGGTGTATCTGGTGTTGAATTTGTGCAAAGTCCATTTGTGGCCCATTTAGGAGAGGAGGAGATGCTTGGCTTAGATTTCAAAAGCCTTTAATTGGGTCCTAGGGAAGGGCATCTTTCTGTCTAGGCTTTTATCTTAGGTTCTGAATGAATGGTTGTAGGAACTTGCTTCTCCTAATTGAAATTTTCTTGCTCCAGAAATACAATATGTATTTAGAACCCTGAAATAGAAGCCTTTGGAAGACAATAGGGGAAAACCTAAGGATCAGAGAGCTGCATCAGGAATCCCAGTGGTCCTTTAAGCAATTGTCAGAACTAAGGTTCCCAGGCTCGCCATGCCAGATAAGTGTTTCCAGTGGTTTGTAACTACAGTAAATGAGAAAAGGCTTTAACTTGCCATTTTTTTACATTTCTGCCTTTTAAGACTGCAGATTGCATTCCTGTATTTTTCCATTTTTCTTTCTTGTTTTAGCTCTTTATTTTTATTAAATCCTCTACCTTTTTATTATGTTCTTTTTCAAATAAGCTTTAGTTTTTTAGAGCAGGTTTAGGTTCACAGCAAAATTGAGCCAAAGGTAGAGAGATTTCCCAAAGACCCCCCCCCAACCCCACACAGGCACAGGCTCCCCTATGATCAACATCCCCACCAGAGTGGTCCACTTGTTACAATCAATGAACCTACATTGACACGTCAATTTCACCCAGAGTCCATAGTTTACATTAGGATTCACTCTGGTGTTGTTATTCTGTGACTTTGTTGTTGCATTTTAAGAGTTCTTTGTATATTTTAAATAACAGTTCTTTATTAGACATGTCTCCTGGAAATATTTTCTCTAAGTATGTGGCTTGTCTTTTCATTCTCTTGACATTGTCTTTAAAATCAAATTGATGCCCTCCATTCCTTCTCATTCAGTAGAAAAGTTTTCACCCATAACTTCTCCCAGTCACCAAATTTAAAATTCTGCTATCAAAAGTGTCTCTCCTATCTGTCACTTCTTCTTCATCTCACTGACCGTGAACACCATCGGGCCACAATGATCTCTTAGACCATTGCAATAAGTCTCCCAGTAGATTATTCTGAATTCACTTATTAGAATTCATTCTTTGTATTGTACTGCTACCTTTCCAAACATGGATATGATCACACTTATTCACTCAAAACAACTTATACAGAATAAAGTCCAAATTCCTTAAAATGACATTCAAGCCTCTCCACGTATCAACCTTGGTTTCAACCTAGTTGACAACCTCATTGAGGTCAAGAGTCTGCCTCCTTGAAAATTAGGGGCAGGGCTGTAAGGTCTGCTCCCCCTCTGTGTTATGTATATATGTTTGTTTTATTGAATGGAATCACCGCATTACTCTCATGCATGGTGATGGCTCAGCTGGAAACGTGGCCACACTCACTGCGCATGTGTCTCAGTGCTACCATCACTTACCCAGACAGGCTCCCAGGCGGCTTCAGAGCCCTGCCATCATCTTTAGGGTAGCCCAGCAGCTAGAGAAGGCTGACTACGGACAGTCCACTGGCTTTCCGTAGCCTGGGTTCTGAAAAGGGAGTCCTGATTTACTTTTCAATAGTCTTCAGATAGATTTGACCAGATTCCAAAATTGCATGAGATCAGCAGTGATAAAAATATGACCCAAACCAAAACATAAGCCTTCTTCCAACACCCCCCTCCCCCTTCATAACCTTGGTATTGTCATAAGCTATTGTGTTAATACAAGCCTCGAAGGCAAAATACATTCAGCAGCGAAAATCCCCAGAACTGAGACTCAGACCTCCAGGGGCGTCCCTTCAAGTCTCGCGAGAGCTCAGGCACAGGCGCCGGCTTCTCCACGTCTCTCGCGAGAACCAAGGGCTCCACCTTCCCGTTCGCCGGGACCGCGGCGGCGTCTCCTGGGGCAACAGCAATGGCGGCCTCCTTTGCCGAGGGGCTCTTCTCTCTGGAGCTGCTCGTAGACTGGGTGCGTCTTGAAGCCGGGCTGCCGCCGCCGCCCGTAGTCGCGGTGGGGGAGGAGCAGGAGCTGGAGGAGGAGACGCCGCCGCCGCGGCTCTCGCCCCCGCTGTGCCCCGCCGTGGCCTTCCGCCTGTTGGACTTCCCCACGCTGCTGGTTTACCCTCCCGGCGGCCCCGCCGCCCCTGCCCCGGAACCCCGGCCCGGCCTGCTCAGCTTCGGTCGCGGCAAGTCTTGTCTCTTCCGCCTGCACCCCGCCACCCTGCGCCGCGGGCTCCTCGGGACCCCGCTGTACACCTTGCTGCTGCAGCTGCACCCCGGACGCCCGACCCCTGCCCCGCAGCTTCTGGGCGCCTGCAGCATCTCGCTGGCGGCCGTGGCCCACAAGGTCCTGGGCTCGGCCGCCTCCGGGTGCTCCCAGGGTCATCGGGGAAGTTTCCCTCTGCATAACCATGTGGGGGAGCGGATTGGGGACATTGCCCTGTGCTACCGCCTGACTGACCTGGGAAGCAGCTTGCTGGGCCATCTTGAGCGGCCAGTCATTTCCACAGGAGGTGGAGTGGAGGGTGTAGAGGGATGGGAGGCAGTAGAGATCGCTTCCCAAGCCCCGCAGGAAAAACAGCTGCAGCAGCCAGACTCGGAGCCAAGCCCAAGAGGTGCTGATAGGCCTCTGGTGGGTTTTAAAATCCCAAAGGCACCGAAGAATTTGAAGGAAATAGTTTTCCACAGTAGGGCCAACTCTCATAACCTGGGTTCTGTGGAGAATGGCAAAACCAACTCTATATGTTCAAATGCCAGCGGTGTGGAGAGCGTTAGACCCCCTAGTCAGGAAGTCACAGAGTTGGACGTTGAAACTAACACATTTTGCCCTCCTCCTCTGTATTACACTCACCTCACCCAAGAAAAGACACCTGCCCAGCGTAAAATCACCATTAAACCTCTAATGCATGCACCTGAGGAACTGGATGGTGCTTTTCTGGAAGAAAAACTTGGAAATACCCCAACATATGTTAGTCCTCTAAAACATACAAGTTCTGCAACTCATGAGAGTCCTCCAGTACTTATAAATCCTCCACATGTTCAGGATGTAGGAGCGAGTAATCAAAGTACATCTCGGCCTCAAACTGAACAAAACAGAATTAATACAATAAGGCAGCTGCCTTTGTTAAATGCATTGTTGGTTGAATTGTCCTTGTTAAACAACCAACCCATGGCAAGCCCTGCTCATATACATCCTCACTTAGCCTGGTTATATAGAACTGAGGATAAGAAGTCACCAGAATCTTCTGCCAGATCCACATGTAAATCTGAATATAAGAAAAGTAAGCTTCCAATGGAGGAAAAGGAAAAGTCAGTGAGTCTTCAGTATAAAAAGAACCAAGTTGAAAATCTAAAGAAAGGTAAACATTTTGAAAAGAACAGTGATCCCCCCAAAAGAAGAGTTCCAAGGGGGAAGCTACTCTATGGCTTAACAAATACACTTAAACTACGTTTAAAGCAAACAAATCCTGATATGTTGATAGTACATGAAAAGAGAGAACAGTATAGAAAAATGCAAGCACAAATGTTCAGTGCAAAATTCAGAATTCCATCATCCAAAGCTAAAGCGTTAAGCTTTGCGGAACAACATCAGAAACCACGCCAACTGCCTAAAGATAAGTATTTAGAATCAGATGCATCTTCTGCTGAAAGTGATACCTCAAAGCAAATCAGTGTTTTTGATGAACTCAGCACAACTAAAGAAAATAAACTGAAATGTGCAACTGAAGAGACAGTTGACAGTGGTGAAAACAGAACCAATAATAGTTTATTAGAAGAAATGGTAACTCCTGCACATTCCATTATTCCAGAAAGTTTTACTCATACAAACATTTTGGAAGGAAAAGTGGAAATGAAAGTCCAGAGTCCATTTGTTTTCAAACAGGTTGCAGTTGTTGACAGAATTGTAGTAGATAAAGAAATGGATGACAAGCAAGTCAGAATCACTGCTAATGATATTCTTGCTGCTGATGTGAGTGAAAATAAACCAAGTAAAAATAGTTGCTCTGAAAGCATCTCAGAACTAAAGTATTCAGATGACTTCACCAGCCCTAGCTATTCTGAAGATTCCTATACTACTGAGGGCACCAGCAGAATTTTACAAGCTCATGATGGAAGTCCAGAAAGTCCAAAACATAGCCAATATACAAGTAAGTCTAGTGAAACAAGATTGTCCATAAGGAAAAATAACAGTGAAAAGAGTTCTATCCTTAGTCCACCTTATTCAGCTGGATCACCAGTACACTCACATAAAAAATTTCATATTTCGAAGACTCAAGATAAAAGTCTGGAGGAAGCATCTACTACCTCTACCAGTGATTTATCTTCGTATTGGACAGAAGAAAAAGAAAACCAAATAGACCAAAATAGTGTGCATAATTCTGAAGCTATAAAGAGGGGTCAAGACATCTCGGGTAAACTTGAGACAAGAACTGGTTTCAAGTCTTTAGAAAAAAGCCAGTCATCTCGGACATCTCAAGTGAGTTCTTATCTGCCATCTAATTTGTCAGAACTAGAACTTAATGTCCTGGATTGCAGTACATCAGATCACTTTGGAGAAGACAGTGATGAAGTTGGTTCACTAAATATATCTAAGCAATGCAAAGATATTTGCGAATTAGTAATAAATAAACTTCCAGGATATACGGTGTAAAAATGTGGTTTTAAAAAACATTTAATTTTTTTATAACTTCTGTGTACTGTTAGTGAAACAATTTTAATAACTGTTATTTTTAGTACATAAATTATATGAATAGTTCTTTGTAAGAAACAGAAGTGTCATTTCTTTGATTTTTAGTGTTCTGCCAGTAAATCTGATAGGTATTGATCAAGAAATCACCTTATATCCTAGGTAAGATTTAAGTTGTTTAATCATATAAGAATAAAAGTATCTATCTTCCTAAACTATCTCTCTTAAAGTATCCTAAAATATTGATCATCCTAAAGCTGACCTCATGTACACCATTGAAAAAAGAAGGGTGGTTAGTAAGGATAGCCTCAGATCTGAATGGGAATAAATTATTTAATAAATATAGACTTACTGTGTGAAATGCAGAAAGGTACAAAAATACTTAAGATATAGCCTCTGCAGTTATAAGATCTTATGTTTTATTTAGATCTGAATTCTTTAGGGAAATCTTTCTGGACACACATACATCTCATATCCCCAATCGGTGAAGTCCTTTTCATATGCTGTCATAGTTGCTGTATGTACTCTGTTTGTTTTAACCACAATTTGTGTGATTACTTGATTAATGTTTATATTCTGTTGGGCCTAAGTTCTGTGATGGGGGGACCATGTCTGTTTTGCACGCCAGTATGTTCTTGGTATCTAACACTTAGTCTCTGGAGTATGGTAGGGGTGCAGTAAAAGCATTTGCTGAACAAATTAGTGAAGGTCATTTATGTAAACTACCTAACATGCATGTTAGGAGGGAATACAATTAAGCAGTAAAAACAAGCAGAAACTCTAAATATAAGCCTGCAGAAACTCTTTATTGAAGCTATGGTTATTCAACTGTAATGTTTTTGTTTGGGTGGATATAAACAGTCCTCAGGTGTCCTCTGAAGTATTTGGAGACGGGAGCTAAAAAAGGTGTCTTCTATATGGTTTCTTGTATAGAAACTCAGTTTATTGTCATTTCAGGTTGTTTGGTAGTTATTTTTAATGTATGAAAGCTTTTTATGAAGGCTAATGATCATTTGTTTTTATTTCTTCCACTGGTTTTATACTTAGACCTTATTCTGTGTTCAAATATTTACATATATTTTCTTCTATCTGTGTTATATTTTAATTTTTACACTTAACTTTTTAATAGATCTAACATTTTTGGATGTCTCAGGTAAGGCCCTAATTTTCGTTCCTTTATAAGTAATTTAATAATTATGCAGGCATTACCTTTGGGCTGATTATACTAATAGAATTTAGAAAGATGGTAAGAAGTGAGGATGTTATATTTTGAGGAACAATATGAATAAAAGAATGATCATGATGTATTCATGGGACTGAAAATAATATCTTGATTGGGATAATAAAAAGGAAATTTGTTATGAAAAGTCCCGGAATGTAGGAAGCTTCAAATGCCAAGCATAATAATAAAGTGCTAAGCGGTAGAAACAATAGAGTAGTTAATGTAATAAATGAGCACCAGTAAGTAGTCATGACATTTTTAATATTTTAAATGATTGAAGTAATTTCTAAGAGGTACAGAAATTATACCAGTAAAAGGTTTGAAATATGAAATATTTTTAATGGCTAATGGCTATGATCTTAACTTTCCCATGAGTATAAAGCATACAGTAAATCATTTCACAAAATCAAAATAATTCTATGCTAGGTACTATAGCTAGATACTCAAATGACATTCACCTTGATGTGTAAATTAGTAGCAAATTTTCATTACTATGGAAGAGACAAACATATAAGCAATTATATCAGATTCATCAGATAAATAATTCCTTAAAAATCAACTGTTTTATTTGATTGAGACTAAGTCATTGTCTAAGATGAGAATAGGTGAGGAAAATGACGAATTCAGTGTGTCGAAGGTACAGCAGAAACTAAAGAACCGATGTCCTTTAGACAACAAAACTGGGTAGCTGAATAAACTTCACTTTTGAGTTATTCCATAAATACTCATTTCTAGAATTATGGTGTTAGTTTTTCTAGTTTAATTCTAGGGAAAATACTTGCTTTCCTGTATGTATTTAGTACTTCCTATTTTCATCCTGTCTGCAAATTTTACTGCATTTTAATTCTATAACCTATAAAGTTAGTTTTTAAAGACTATCATAATAGCTATTACTCCCAAAGCCTTATTTTCTCCTCAATTGCTTAAAATCATTGAAACATGAAATAGTATTTCAGGATCACAAATAAGGGCTACCTGTCATTTAATTGTAAAACTAAGGTACTGTAATCCAGCTTTTTCTAAATAGCATAGGTGCCTAAACTGCTGTGGGAAAAATTAAAAGGGAGAGGGTGTAAGAAGCAAAGTGAGCCATGGAAATGATGTCAGGACCTACCTCTGTGTAGTATTAATACTTGCAGCTCAGGAGGCAGCTTTCAATGATGATAAGTGCTTTGAATTCTCACCATGAGCAGATTTGACTGTGCAGATGCATACAATATGTTTTTCCCCTCCATCCATGCTGTTGGTATCTTCAGCTACAAAGGACAATGATACTGAATTGTACACTTCTTATGGCTTTCTGTTGAGAGCCACTCCTTCACGTTTTTCACATTTCAGTTAATTGATATTTTCCTGCCTGTACAAGCAGTGCATTTATTATGGAATTAAACTTAGGAACCAAACTTTTATTTGTTGCAAAGATATAGGTCAAGACTATAAGTGAAAAACCAATGTTTTAATTACCAGATTGTGTTGTTGATAAGGCAAAGAAATTTCATAACAAAGAAAGCAGTATATAAATAAGATAATATTTATATTCGTCCAGTCATAAACTTCCCTTGGGCCTAGAGATATAGTCACCCTTCAGGCTATTTATGTTTCAGTTTGGATTAAACTATCTAGAGAGTTGTACAGAATGACAGTTTATAAGCTGAGACTTGCTGTATCCTTCTCATTTTTTAATCTAAAACAATACAAGGAAAACTTACTGGTCAAGGACCAAGGCCTTGTACTATTTTTTCTCCAGAGATCTAACTCATGGCAGGAAATAACGGAGTTAAGGATGAGCATCAGTAGGTTGGCATGCCAAACCATAGTCTAGAAGTATTTCCTTGTTTCCCCAACACTTCTTATATCTCTGTTATACTAATAATATTAATTCTAGAAAAAAATAGAACTTTGATAAGAGTTTTTGCTTTAAAATTGTTTATGAAGGAACGGTTATAGTCCTTTCCTTCCAAAATCCCACTGAAATGACAGAAGAGATGTAAAAATAAGAGTGAGCCCATCCGTAACTAAGACTGAACACAGCACCTTGAGCTCAGAAGCCACGAGCTGCCGACGGGAAGCCAGATGGCGACTGGCACCCTCCACAACGAAGATTGAACAACAACTTGTCTGTTCCCCTTCCCCAATTTCCCAATAAAATCTTTAAAAAAAAAATGAGCCCATGGTAGCCCTGGAGAACAAGGAAGGTGCTGGGGTGGACACGACCATTTGGAGACATTCTGAAAGGTACAAAGCAGATGGGATTCAGTTGATGGAAGATGAATGAGAGATCTGGTCCCCACACCCAGTGAGGATGCTGCTGAAGGAGAGAGAGGACAGCACTGGTTTTCTGTCGGAGCCCCAGATGAACTTCGGTCTCAGTGGGCAGGCCTCGGGACGGCAGGGCTTGGAGACGGAACCCCGAGTGTGACGGAGAAGCTGGGCTGGGCTAAGGTCACCTACTGGAAAAGGTGTTGGGATCAAAGAGAAAGGTGTTTTTTTGCTTTTGACACCAAAACAGAAGTGTCTGACTCAGTTTTACTGGGGAGACCCGGTAAATTTTAGTGGGAGACTCTTGAAGTGCTGTGATCCTGGTCTTTGGAGGCACGAATGGTGTTTGCATCCATGATCATATTATGTTTCGGAGACTTCATTATTGGGTTGATTTGAGGATTGGATCCAATAACATTTTCTAGCCTACATGACACTGAGTGTGCCTGTGGGTGTTGGGGTATGTATTTAATATGGCAGAGACTCACCATGGCATCTGTGTTCCTGCCCTACGGAGTTAGCTTTTCAATTAAAGTCTCAGCCAGGAAATCAGCTCTTCCTTCCAAAGAGTTTAAACAAACTTCCGATGGTATGGCAAGGCAGAGAAGCCATGGGGAGAAAAGAAGCAGCACAAAGACTTGAGGCTGGGTGTGGGGTGGAGGGGTGCTAACAGGGTCGGGGGGAACTGCTTAGGCCAGAGAGCAGAGGACCAGAGCAGGAGCCCCTCGGAATGCTAAGCAAAGGGGCACCTGGCTGTGAAGAGTAGCAGAGCAGGAGGGAGGGGCTCCCTGAACATTCACTCGGAAAGGCAGCTTAGCCAGGGCATATAAAGGCACATTTTTCTAGAACAGTCAGAAAGCAGTGTTGGTGCCAGGAATATAGAATGTATCCTGCAAACCCAGGCAGACCTGCCGACAGGAGGTCACTTAGAAAAGCCTTAGAAGTTTAAACGGTTTTCTGTCTGGATATTTCACGTCTTTCCATTAGATGCACAAACATGTTTGTCCCTTTCCTCTGAATGCCTCGGAGATGAAGATGGGGCTCGTGGGAAAGGAGCTGTCAACAATGATCATCACAAAAGAGCCAGAAGCTTCTGCATAGAATGAGTTGGGACAGGATGAAGTTTTTCTGCAGACTAGATATCATAACTGAGCAGAACCCTGGCAGCAGGAGTCAATGGAACGTTTTGGGTTTTAATAAAGAATGTTTGAGCTTGTCCAGGAATGGCCGGGATAGCTTAGACAAGCTCTGAGTAGTAGTAAGACAAGAGAATAAGATAATGGCTGATGGTCCTAAGATGGAAAGAAAGAATGTGGGATGTGATGGGTCCCTCCATGCGGCAGTGAGTGATTGCGCAATCAGAAACCTGTAGTCATAAGCCTATGTAGAAAATTGCATGTTTTATTTGCCTATTTATTATTTTCTTCTTGGTTATAATATATAGTTCTTTTTGAAGGGTTTTCTAGCTGAGCTGTAACAGGATTAAGAAATGGATTTGGTTGTGGCAGAAATCCTATAGGAGGAGCAATGCACCCCCAGGGTCTATATATTGAAAGAGGGAGAGACAAGACGTAGGAGCCCCTGACAGCCCCTCCTCCACCCAGAGATGTCTCCTTCAGCTGTTCTCCCCTAAACACCCTGCAGGGTTTTGTGTTTTGTTTTCCTAAGGGAGGCTGTTCAATTACAAAGTCTCACACCCAACAACTCCTCGAGCACAGTATTTCATTACTTGTGATTCCGGTGTCAACACTGTGAATTGGGACTGAATTCTGGACTCAGAATGACCTAAAAATAATGGATTGCTTTAGAGATGGAGGAAGCTATTGTCAGAAGATTTGGTCCAAAACCTCTTGCTTGCTAATTCAGAGTTCTTCAGAATGTTTCCAAGTATTTGGGACAGCATTTGTTAACCTGAGGGAGAAGGTCTTTCCAACCTTCTGAAAAAGCCTGGAGTATAAACCTTTGCTTCTTGTTAGCATGGTGCTCCATGTACCGACATTCTCTGTAATAGCAGGAAACCAAGTATTGAGGGGGCAGAACTTCTATTTTCTTTTTTTTTTTTTAGCTGAGCCATTCTGCCACCTGTTGGCAGCTCAGTGGCTGCTCAGCTTGGGCCGAGACTTGAACTGCTGTTGCTCAGAGCTCAAACTCTTGAGCGAGCTCTTAACCAACTGAGCCACTTGGCCAGCCCCCAGAACTTCTATTTTCGATGGAACTCCCTTCCATACTAGTGCGCCTTTTCTGGAATATATGGTTTCTTGGTGCTGTCTTCCCACTTCACTGATCATAGCGTGAGCTCATACTGTCAACCTCTAAAAACTGGTGTTAGGATTTTACCAAAATTATGGCCTTGCTTTTCATTGGAAAATAAGATTGCTAAAATAAAATAAAATAAATGTGTTTGAGTTATGTGGTCTCCAATCCTGTCATTAATTTAACACTATTGACTCCTGACACAATAGCTCTAGAGCTGATGACAGACCCACATCTCACTTCATCTTCATGAGAACCTGAGTTCAGGATTAATAGAGATGAGGAAACAGACTGTGTCCCCCACATTCATGCCTTTCTCACTTTCACAGAAAAACTGAAAGGCTCTTGGTATAAATCTTGGGAAGTTAATGTTCTTTCAATACTTATAATTTCCAGAGTCAGAATGGATAGTAATAGTCTATAAACAGCTAAAATTCCAGTTTTAAACATTATAAAACTGTGCTGTATTTTAGCACCCTCCATATTATTTTTGTGTCATTTGTTTTTATCTTCAAAGTCATCTATTTTTACTAAACCAGATGTGTGGTTTGCTGCATCAAAAAAAGGATCCGTCTCTGTGCTGGGAATATGATTACACTATCATGAATCCACGTGTGGGATTAAAAAGCAGCTGAGATTGTTAGACGATTTTTGTGAGAAAAGAAAGCTTGAATTCATATGAATTTGGAGCTAGAGGAGACTTCAGAAATCATTTAGCTTAGCTCCTTCATGTTGTAAATAAGGAACGAAGTTCAGAAAAATGGAGTTTGCTTGTGTCTTGCCCCTACTACAAGATTGTTTCCACAAGAAAATGCCATTTTATGTGTCAGACTGGGGACACAGCAAACCCAAACTGTGTGTCTGTAGACATTCTGTAACATTTATATTGAAAACACTAACCAAAAACCACTCATTTAGAGATGTGGGAATTCATCCCCTTTCTCTTCCTCCCTCCCTCCCTCTCTCCCTCCCCCTCCCTTCCTCCTCTTCCTTTCTCTTCTCTCTCCCTTTACTTTACATTTTGTGTAGAATATGTGTTTGATGCAAGTTTTCATTAGAGTATAGCATTCACACGTAAAAGCACACAGGTGACAAGTGTACAGGTGACAAGTGCACACGTGACAAGTGTACAGCTTCACGAATTTCCCAAAATAACCCTTTTGTGTAACAGCATCCAGGTCAAGAAATGCAATGTTACCCAGCCCGGCAGCCCCTCAGGCTCCCTTCCAGCTACTGTCTCCCCTACGAAGCAGCCCTCACAAAGGGGAATGCTCCCCTGACATCCAGTACCCAGGTCAGCCCCCCAGGACCTGCGGTGCGGGCTTCTGTGTCGGGCTGCTGCTTTTGCTCAGTCTTATGTTTGTGAGATTAGCTCACATCGCCGCATATCATTGAGGTTCATCTGTCTCATTGTTTTATAGTTTTCCATTGTGTCCTTGGTTTGTTTTGCAGATGTTCTCGCGATATGTGTGTGTATCCAGTGTGGCCCACTCCCCTAGATATAATGACTCTCCTTCTATATCCCAATAGATTATGTCAGCTCCCCAGAGTCGTGTTAGCAGGAAATCCAGCATCAGACTTAGGAACTCTGCCATCCCACATGCCCAAGGTCCTGAGAAGCCTTCTCCTGCTTACAAATGCCAGGCTGTGAGAGCTGCCCACCAGTTGGCCTGGGCTTTCAGCTGCTATGGTTCCTACTGCTATGACAAATGTTGCCTCTGAAGACCAATCCCCCCACCCCTGGTCCTGATTCCAGCACAGTTCACGAGAGTACACGTCATTTAGGCTTTTACCACAAGCTCACACTCACAGGATGGCTGGTATGGAGTTGGCTTAAATCCCTCCCCCCTGATGAGCTGGACATTCTGTGCAGAGCAGGGGTCACTAGGACAGACTCTTACTTTCCTCATTTTCTTTGTGGGTCTTCAGGGCCCTTTCCTGTCAGAGAGCTTTGGCTGACACTTTCCTAAAACACCAGAGTTCTTAACGTGGACCATGAGAAAGAAGATATCTACTAAGAAGGGAATCCTGATGTCTAACAGCTCAAAACAAAACAAAACAAACAAACAAAAAACAAAAAAATCAGAGCCTAGCCGCCATTTCTACACAGCGGCCTTTCATGCAAATTGCATTTCGGGGAGAAGCCTGCACTGAGCTGCCTGCCTACACTGTGTTCCTAACATCAGAACCAGCCCTTATAAAGGCGTTCCTGCAAAAGTATTTCAAAAAATAGGACTCAGGCTTTCCCTGTCCAATTGTATCTGCACTGCTATATCCCCACCAGCATCTTCACTGACCAGAGTGGCTCCATTCTGACCAATCAGAACAGTGCTTTTGGACCAATCAAACTGTGAGGATTTGGAGTCCTCATTTGCATGAGGATGGACCAATTAGGGACTCAGGGTGGGGACTTCTGTCTATATAAGCCAGCTCCCCTTTTTCAGAGAGCACACTTTTCTTTTCCACTGAAGACTGGGTTTCCCTGACTGGAGCTGAAATATCAAAGATGAAACACTAAAAAGATCTCCCAGGACCAAAATGGACAAGAGAAGGCTGAGCAGA